TTTTTAATTCCATTAACGATATGCATAATATGAAGTGTTTTTTTTTTATTACGAGGATATCTCAAAGTATGCACGAAGACAGTACAGTGGGAGTATTGGCCGACGTGCAGCAGAGGTCAATGCAATGGCGTACTGTCTGAGTACATATGTTTATGTATCCTCGTAATAACCTTATTATTATACATCTTTCCCTTCCAAGGATACACCATGGGAATGCCGAAATCCAAAAAGTTTAGAACAGAATCAGCAAACTTCTTTGTGTGGAGTCCCGTCAAACCCTAGTGGCAGCCATACTATTAGAGGACGCTTACGTGCATACTCATTCCATACTTGGAATTCACACTTCCTAATATGGTAGGATGAAAATACCCCGTAAAATACCACAAAATTACGGCACACTGCAACTTATTTATGATCACTCAGTAGATGATACCACAAAGCACCAATTAGATGCCAAAAGTATTATCTTTAAAACTGTAAATATTCTACTTAATCAGAAATCATACAAATTCACCATGTTGCATGCATGCATGCATACTTTCATTCTGGTGGTTGTACTCTTAGCTTTCTCCGCTTCGCAACCGAGAATAGACCGAGGAAGCTCGGGTATGGTGGTTGCTACCCACATTTGCATGTTTTATCTGCCTTGCTCTTGTCAAACACTAACAAGTGAATATTGGCATAAAATGCACCATGCGGATAAAAAGTAGGATCAAGATGAAATCGCTGCTGTTCCTGAAGTGGGATCACCACAAAGTTTATTTAAATACTAGTAGTTAAAAACATGGTATAGAGACATTGAAACCAGATTTCAACAAAGCTCAATCATGTGTATAGAATTTGTTAGATATGGATCCATTAAAATGTCAATTTATCTATTCAGCTAAAAAAATTTTTTGTGCAATGTTATGTTAATTATTCAATTCCATTAAGTGTCTTTATCCACACAGAACCACTTATCACACACACCTCACACACACAGGTGTGTACCATGAGGAGGAACAAAATAAATTACCAGTACATGTAATCTCTTTTTAAGGTGTGTACAACCGAACCAAATATTCTTATTTCTGAAACAGTAACAGTAACAGAAAGAACCAGCACAACTTAAATCATGCAAATAATATAACTTGGCGCAGCATTGAAAATGTTTTCTCTAAAAAATTACTTGCCATATTATGTTGTTGATTTTCAAATCCTTGAAGAGAATTTATAACAAACTAAATTGCTATAAGAATGTCATAATACTAGTACGTCAAAATCAGAAAAATTATTAGATGGCAAGGAGTCGATTTAGTGATATGGTGCTTCAAGAAAAGATTTAGATTTTCGCCTGCTTGTAATGTCTCAGTCTACAATTCTTTTTTTTTTCAGTTCTTGTATTGCACTATTATAGTTTTAGTTTAATTTAAACACGTTATAATTTGGTTGTGTGAAACTTACATATGAAAATCTGATATCTTGTAACAATCAATCACAACCTGTGTTACAAACAACATGAACAAAATGAACAAAATGATTTAATCTGTTTTCAGTAGGCAATCTATGATAGGTTGGTTGAGAGAACCAATTCCAAAACATGCATACACGAGTCAAAAATTCAGGCAATATGCAGAAAACATCACATTCACACTAAAACTAAATCCATGCCAGGGATGACTGAATAAATGCACAGAACATACTTGATGTAATACTAGGTGTAGTATCATTTATATTCATAATAAAAAAAAATGTACATGTGTGGGGACAGCGAAAAAGTTCACAAACAAGGTCACTTTATTAACCACCCCTTGTTCATTTCTTAAAAAGACTATAATGAAATCTTCACCAATTTCTGTCCCAACTAGTAGTAAACGCTTTCGTTATCTCTGGTCAATTTTGCCATTTTTGGTAAGCATGTTCTAGAGAGTTCATTGGTTTAAATCTGCTTTAATACAGCTTGGTACAAACAAACAGTTCAGAATAAAGTAATCACAGGCGAAGCGTTCAAACTGATGAAAATGGCCAGCCCTGAACACCTGAAACATTGTCCCTACACCCCACCCACAGTCTGTGTGCTTTAATCTTACAATAGACTAAAAACTTATAATTGCAAACCACCAATTGCTGTTTTTCTTTTCCTCTTCCAAAAAAAAATAACAGTTAAAAAATGTGATAAAGAAAAGAAATAAGCTTACGTTTCACGGACAAATAGCATCTGAATTTTTATTTTGTTATCACAGCCACAAAAGATGACAATTGGCAGTATCAAGTTGGGGGAATTATTTTCACAATATTTCAATTTGCTATTGCATCTTGGCTCTCTTCCTTGCAATGGCGTCTTCCACTGCCCGTAACTGTTTCAACAGTTCCTCTCGACGTGATGCAGTCTTTGGTTTGGTAGCAGGGGCAGCACCTGCTTTAACGACTGGTGGAGTGGCGGGCTTTGCTAAAGCTTTGGGTGCTGGCAAAGCGGTTTTCTTCTCGCTGGTAGGTTTCACCGTTTTGGTGACCGGCTGGTTGGGCTTGGTTACTGTCGGTTTAGTTACTTCTTTGGTAGGCTTCTTGGCTGCAGCTGCGGGCTTTGTAATAGTTTTACGCTCTGCAAAATATAGAGAACATTTAGCTATATGCTGTTCTTTGATCAAGTCATAGGAAAGCCTAATAACAGATGGAACTTCAGACAGAATTCATAATAATATAATTAATAATTGTGTGAGCAAACACCAACTCATAATCCAGTTCACACATTAGATTTACATTAAAACGTAATGTTGAGGGGTTTAAATCTGATATTCATGCCAAAAATTCTACCATCTCAAATTGTACACTGTTTTGTTGTGGGACTACGCAACACCATTTGAGACAATTCATGCCAGGAAACTTTTTCTATACATTGAGCACCTTCTATACAGGTGATGCAATTCTGTGAAAATTATACGTAGATCATGATGAATGCAAAGTCACAGCGGAAACTGATTGTGTAGGCATAGCAAATCTCTCAGTGACATTTTTTTGGGAAACAGTGAAAGATCTGTTGTTTTATGTCTTCAGAAAGCACCAATGGGAAAAGTGTGTTGGGGGGATCAGGTTTTCGTATACCGCAGCTCTGACACAACACAACTAATACAGAATAGTGACTGTTTCTTGTAAACGATGACTTGATCCACACTGTCATGCCAGTGAACAAAGGGTACTGCACTATTTGAGGTGTCTGCATCAAGTGCGCTTGGCTGACATCTTGCACCGTAATTTCATGTGTATGAAATTTAAAAACACTCACTGACTTGAGACATGTCAATAAATTACAAAACACAAAAGACAGTGTAACAGACTTGAGTGCGAATGCAATGTACACAATATTCTGTCGAGTTGTAATTTACCTTTGTCTGATGAAGAAGAGGATGACGACGATGACCCGGCAGGTTTTACGGCTGGTGAGGGTCGCACTTTCTTCAGAGGAGGGGCTTCGTCATTGCTACCTGCAAATCGTTTTTTAGATGCAGTGGATGATGCAGCAGATGTTGTTGTTGGTTTCTCTGCCACTGGCTGTAATGAAAATGGGTAAAAAAAAAATTTAATTCCAGGGAGAGAGAGAGAGAGGTATTCATTGGAAGAGAAACTTGATGTCCTGTTAATAGTAAACAGATTTAATACCATATTTTCTCTATTCGACGGAGGTATGTATATTCAGGATTGTAATTCATACTGTTATGATTCAGTACAGTACACGACACATACAACTGTCGGTTCACGTTTACTTCTATTGGAGATACTCTTCCAATAGAGAAAATACAGCAAACAACAACTTTGGTTTTGGTAACTTTGTGAGTAGCACATCAATGTCGCCGTTTGGTTTTTCTCTGTTTTAGTTTATCATCTGTGATTTTAGATTTTATTCAGAAACCAAATAGATTATTTAGAAAAAACATTCTTTACAGAGAATGCTTTGCTGAAAAAAAAATATTTCTTTCTATAAACCAGATTTTCCCCAACAAACGGATTACAGTTTGGCCTTAAAGATGTATTGGTGACGAGATTTTGTTAAAAGTTACTGATTTTGCAAAACTCTTCCATATATCATCATTCATTGCCTCAATTTGTATTGTCACCACCACAACAAATCCTGCTATGAAATCAGCATTAGGTGTATGTTACATGCTATCCACGACTAACCTAGGGAGTACATGTACATAAAAATAGCAAGTATTGAATACGTTACAGAGGCAACATATTAAATTTAAAAGAATAACTAAATTTCTGAAATTGTGGACAATCTAATGGGTATACAGGAAACAACTCAAAGAGTCTGATGTGTATCACAGACCACTCTTCATGCTTCAACCTGACTTTGATTCCGTGATTGGTCCATCTTGATAGTGGAAGAGAAAATCCCATGATTCAGTGACGAGATGACACCCTAAGATAGTGAAAACTCATTCACAAACAATTCTATGATAGTTTTCAGTTACTGGTAAGCCCCTTCACACATTAAATATCCATCACTGTCATTTAAGCAAATAACACATACAACAAATAGAGCACATGTGTTATTACTTCGCAAGTCAAACTAAACACGAGTGACAATTCCTTCTTAAAGACCGACAGACGTCGTGCCGCGTCATGTTCGATATGGGACTCATAGCGACGTATACAACGCATGTAAAATACATTGTTTATTTACATTAAATTCGAACATGCGCTGCACGACGACCACCGCAAATTTAAGAGTACAATATTTTGCTACCAGAAGCTGGGAATACATACCTTTTTAAGGAGGGTCAGTTTAATATCTTTATGTGCACTGATTTTCAATGGATTAGCGGTGCGACTTGTTGGTGCAGCAGTACTGGATGTCGCTGGGGGTTTGGTTACGCTGGGAAGAAAACAAGTACAAAGTCAATTACATGACACAATATAACGCCTAAATAAATAGAAAATTGAAAATACTGGATTGATGCATGCATGACACAAATGAATACTATGAAATTAGCATAACACTTTGAAATTTAATACCAAGGCTAAACAGTGTTTTTAAATGTGGTAATCTGGGGTACTTAATTTGTATGTCAAAATTTCTAAAAACTCAAAATGAGGTTTCCAGACAATTTCCTCAAAATCAAGCTCTGGTGTGACCCCCCCCCCAATAAGAGATCTATTTTAACTATTTTATTGAAACTGATCAATGAATCAGTAAAATTTAAAACTAAGCAGTTTTTTCAGAAATGGTGCTCATGTTTATTCCAAACAAACAAACCATGTCTGTCATATGGTTTTCTAACATGAGAGCAGGGACACTCATGCATGGCATACATGATGTAAAAAAAAAAAACCCCAAAAAAATCAATTTTGATTGGTCTTTTCTCATGTCACAATGCCAAACACATTTGCAGAACTACTTTTGTGTTGAGTCTTAATACATACCGTGGTGCTTCGGTTACCTTGTCCTCCTTTGGCTTCCCTTTTGGTTCGGGCGGTTTACCCGGCCTGGTAGCTGGTGGTAAAGACTTCACAGGCCTTGCAGGCTTCAGTGATTTCTGCGTAACGGATTTGCTAGACGGTTTCTTCGTCGCTGGTTTAGCTTTAGGAGGCACAGGCCGAGTTTGCGCCGGCGACGGCACTGACGGTACTTTAGGTTTCACGGCTTGGTCTTTACCACTCTTGGCTTCTGTCAGAAAATTAAACTTGACAATGAAAGAAAAGCTGCACCAAAAATAGCAAATTCATCTGATATCAATGTTTTTGATGACTTTTCACAGAGACACATTTTCACGAAAGTCACTGTGACATATGCTTTAATGACCTCAGGGAAATTCACCCAGTCTGTGTTATAAGCAAAACCTAAATGAAAGGATATTTTAGTAAAAAAACAATGGAAATTGAAATACGTAAAAATCCGAATTCTGGAGCTTCCAACTAAACCATTTAGTTAATAGACATGGAATAGTGACAACAAATGTGGTTGACCCCAGAGAAAAGTATTACAGTACCTTTTTTGGCT